CGACAAAAGCTACATGGCATGCTCATTGGATGTAAAGGACCTTTACTATTCTTTGCCTCATAGTCGACTTATGCTGTGTATTGAAGAGTGTATAGATAAGCATGGTGCAACCGCCTTTCAGAACGACACAGGGTTAGCGGTTGGCAGTTTTTTAGAGCTTTTAACCATGTACCTTAATTCGACTTTTACAACATGGAATGACAGGGTTTACATCCAGACAAATGGGGTCTGCATTGGATCTAGCATAGCTCCGATATTAAGTGATCTTTTCCTAGCGCATCTAGATAGGCAAGTGCACGACCACATGAATGTTTTAAGGCTGACCAAGGTCTTCCGCTACGTAGATGATTTCTTAGTTATTTTTCAGACGGACGAATTAGGCCTACAACCACTAATGTTAGAAGTGCTAAATGAATTTCGAAAGCATTTCCAGCCACTTGTTTTGACGCATGAATTACCAGTGGGGCAGGTCATTAGGTTTCTTGATCTAAAGCTTAAATTTGAAACAGATCACATTTGCTGGGAGTATGAGCCACGAGCCAGTAAACCATTGCTACCTTTTGATTCCTGCCATTCTAAATTGGTAAAGAGGTCTATTGCCACTACGTGCTTTACTAATGCCCTAAAGAAGTCTTGTCGCCACTTAATTTCAGAGAGCTTCAGTAAACAACTTGAACGCCTTAAGGCAGCAGCTTATCCATCACATCTGTTAATTTCTGTCGCAGAATCTATTTTAAAAAAGCTAAAGCATACCCAGGGCCGGCTATCGTTATCGGAGTGCAACAGAAATAAAAAGTGTACCGTTGTGCCGTATATGCATGGGATCGCACACAATTTGAAAAAGATAGGGAAGCATGCCAACGTCAGAGTGCTGTTCTCTGCGCCGATAAAGCTGTTGTCCATATGTGCGCAAGTGAATAAACCCGCAAGAGTGCCGCAGCTCTGCGCAGTAAATCATAAATTTAGCTACATACTTTGCGCGGAAAATGTAGTTTATTCGATCCTGCTGTCCTGTGGAAGGATATACGTGGGCCAAACAGGAAGGTGCGTAAACACAAGATTGAAGGAGCACGAGTACAACGTGAAAAATACTATTAGCGGCCACCTTGGCATCCATTGTAGGGATTGTGGGTGCACACCGCAGTTTCGCGACACTAAAATCCTAGCCAGGCACAAAGAAAGAAAAACTAGGGAGATAATGGAAGCGGCTGAAATTGCACGTCTGAAAGATCAATGTGTAAGTAGGGCATCTGTAACCCTCTCTCAAAAAGAGATGGACTTCTTATCTGTAGGATGAACACGTGTGCGGTGAGACAGTAGCGATATGGTGATGGTGACGCTTGTGCGAATTTTTTGATATTGTGGTGGACACGTGTTATTTGCCTGCCATGATATATATTTGTTCGCATTTCCTAATAAAGATCAGTTGTAAGTCAGCGCTCTGTCCTGTCTCTTCCTTTCTTCCTGCCGTTGTTTGCGCTGTGTTTTTAATCATGTATTTGAACCAACTCGCCCAAGCTTTAACCTTAGCAAGTTTTGATTGCGTCACACTCGAGGTAAAACGCGATATGGGCTCGGGCGGATAGGTCGGACTGATTCGTCTGTGATTATACGGTGCCTCGCAATCGGCGTGTGTCCGATTTTCGATGTCTTTGAGAAGCATTCGGCTCAACCCAGAAGAGGGCTGCGTAGCTTTTTTTGCTTGTGCTCTGGAAGGGCAGGATTGACGTCAAAGGTCGGGTCATCTTTATCAGCGATGATACGTCGGCGGATGATTGTGACAGCGTACATGCACTTACTACTTCGTCAATAGGATCTACTAATGCGATCGTCGTGCCTTTATTCAAGTGCGTGTGCTAGGAACTGAAGTTCATTACGAGAATAGTCTGCTCGGCTTCGATGTAATTGAACCATGCTACGTGCGACACATATTTGTCGATCGAAAAGCAACTGCGCATTCGTTTCGACGATGAAGACTCCGGCTGATTTTCGTTTCGTTTGGACGCATGCGAAGACGCTTGTACGAGGTGGGATTGTCTCTTCATCATCAAGGATTGCGAGGGGGGCACTTTTTGTAGCCGGTGCGTTCCGGTGATGACTGTTAAGCATAAAAGATCCCATTTTGAGGTCGATCAATGCACCATTTTCGGTCAGGAAATCCATTCGAAGAATAACGTCACCTGAGCACTGTTGCACAACGACAAAGTTCACTGGGTACGCATTTTGTGAAAATTTACTCGTGTGGCGCAACGTCCAATTGGCGCTACGAGATGCCCTCCTGCCGTGCGAATCTGTGGTCCGCCCCACGTAGTTCTGACTTTCCTCAGATGTGCTGCAAACGGTCCACTTATCACTGAGTAATTAGCGCCAGTGTCAACGAGCGCGGTTCCTTGACGTCCGTTGATCATGAGCTGTAAGTCGTTACTTGGCGTACGGCTTCGAGGTCGAGTAGTGGTTGATTGTGCGGTGTGTCACTTGGACTAGTCACGGCTGCGTCGAGTACAAGTTTCGAACTTGGGCGTTGTCGCAATGTTAAGACATAATGACCAAGCGTTAAATCGTCGCATCACGCCGTCGGGTGTTCACACCACGGCAACGATTCGTGACGTTGGAGGGTCTTGCTTGGTTCGCTGGGAAGCGGCGTCACCTCTGTACGTCGCTGTCGTTAGTTTCCCTGACGAGGGCATGAAGATCACCCTCCTGTTCTGTACAAACGCGCTGAGTGTGGTGACTGGGTGCGGCGTGATTGCGGTGAAGGCGAAATAGGGCGGGACTGCGCTTGTCCTTCCGTTTCTTTCAGATATGCCTCGATTTCATGCAGCCGCTGGTCTGGAAGGGGGCGGGCGGCGTTGACGCTGAAATCCCGTAGACCCATTTGGCCGTAAGGGCATGTTAGGAGTACGTGGCCGGGTTCGCCACTGTGGAAGCATAAGGAACGTCGTTTTGGTATCTGCCAAAGGTCAGCCTTCTTCGCAGTGGCTTCTTGATAAGCCATATGTCGGCTTTGCAGCGGCGGTTGTGGTAACAGCGTGTAGGGCTGGGGCGGCGGTGACGGTGTGCACGTATTCGTCCGCGTGACCAGATGCATCTGGCTACTAATGGCATCGGCGTAAGTCATCACTGCCGGCTGTGGCACGGGTTGCAAGACCGTCTGGGTCGGAAATGCTGTTCCGAGCGCCTGATGCAGCTCATCGCGAATGACGCTTATCGGAGGTGTGACGTGTTGGCTAGCCGCAGGGAGCGATTCCTGAAGTTCTTCGCGGATTATGTTCCGTATGGTAGCGCGAAAACTATGGGCATTCAGTGTATCAAAGCCAACGTTGCTCGAAGAAACAGCTAGCAAGCTGCGGTTGTATTGTCTGGCTCGTAGGTCAAGTGTTTTTTTTAATCGTTGCTGTCCATGTCACAAATTCTGCAACTGTCTTCGGTGAGTTGCGAATGAGGCCAACGAACGGCTCGCATCAGGTACGGGAGTTTCTTTTCCTAAGACATATCGTCGTCTAAGTGTCGGAAGATTTTCTGCATGTCCTCAACAAACACATTTATAGGCTCATTAGGGTGCTGCTGACGGGTATGGAGCATGGCTTCAGCCTGTTCCTTTCGGTAGGCATGTGGGAATGTCGTCCTTTAAAAAAGTCCTAACTCGTCAGGGACACCTGGTTTTTATACCAAGTTCGGGTGGAGTCTTCGAGAGAGAAAAAGACGGTGCGAAGCTTGTCTTCTTCCGACCACTTGTTATACGATGCAACTCTTGAACCTGTCCTGCCATCCTTGCAAGTCCTCGCAGGCGGAGCGATGAAACTTCGGTGGTTCCTTCGGTTGTTAGAACGTGAACGTAGCGGGAGCAGTGGCCTTTGTCATTGTTATTGAAGGATGGGCTGCCACGTGTCGTTCAGGGTCTCGCAACAGTTTGTACTCTGGAGGCAGTCCCAGGCACCTTCGACTAGTTCGGATTTCTCCTGAGTTCTCTACCTTCACTGCTTCAGTGCGGTCGTCTTTACGTGAGAAGCTAGCTTCACGGCTTGAAGAGGGTGTTCCAACCATAAGCACCTCCACCAAATGTCCCACTGACGTAGCGTCTTGGCCCGTAAGCACGGAGATGAGGCGACTTGAAAAGAAATGAACTTTGTTTGATCGAACTTGTGCCCATAAAAGAATTGCGTGAAAAAACAGTCGGTGGCCTCGAAACGGCCTGCCCGTTTCAGCGTCGGAGGAAGGATTACCCGTGCTCTCTTCGCCGGGACGCATGATTATCACGTGGTCCCATTTGCTTATCAAAGGCATGCCCAGCGCGCGAGCGACAGAACGACGTACTACCGACGCCACACTGTAGAGAAGCTGAGGGCGGTGCTGCGTGACGAAGTGGGCACCAACATAAATGCACGTGGCACTATTGTCTTGTGACGCCATTTGAAGTGAAACATGCACATACGGGGCCAAGTTTTTTTAATCTCCTTTACCCCATCTACTACAAAAAGCTTAGCCGTGTTACGGAATTCGGCAAACAGAAATCGCCTTGTTTTTTTTTCCTTTAGAAATCACTTACGCATTAGTCCTTCGGCGACGCTGTATTTACATGCAATCAAGCGCCGGCGTTAGAGATGCACAGCCTCCTCCTCAGCTTCGGTCCTTCAAAGGTGGGACGTGCGTGACGGAGACGCGAAAGATTAGACGGCGATACCATGGTACCCCAGGCTGTTTCGCCGTACAAGACTTTACATAATCATCGTTCGCTTCTTGTAGGAGACTCTGAACGCGGCCACTCCTCATCGAATGCGAAAATTGATCTTCGGCATTAACTGTGTGCCACATCAACACTAGGCATACCAGAACACTTCATCACACGATCATATGACGCCATGATAACGCCACAGATTACCGAAGTTTCCAGCATTGTAATGACGTCACATGACCTTTCATCACGCGATGGGATCGTCGGTTGGTACGTCCGATGAAGATCGGCGATCACGGGGGCATTGCAACACCACCTAAGGAGCGAATGGACAGAAAAGAAGACGATCACTCTGGAGTCTTTATTGCCACAGTGATTGGTGAGGCAGCATGTCGATGTACGAGCCCGAGATGAGGCCATCGTCATCTATGCCAAGTTCCTTGCAGAGACTTTCGGCGATGGCCTGGCCATCTGCGGTCGTCTGCGTCTCTTCGAGCACAACCTACGATTGAGCGAACACGAGCATTGGTATGAATGAGATTATATCCCAAGTGCCCCACAAATACTCTTACAACTACTGCTGCTGTCTACCGTCTTATTCTGTCATTAGTTTATACGAAACCAGTTGCCTAAAACGCTTACGCACACTCCTACACTCTGGTTTTTTATGTGAAGCGATTTCCCTCAAAACACATCATGGCTTCTGCGTAACTGAGTACAACACAAGAAAAGGTACAACGTTGTATAGCAGCACACGCAAATGCAGCGGTGATGTAAGTCGGGACTTTTATTTTCACAAACATTTTGTCACACAAGCATACTAAAATTTTACATTCGCAAGCTACACTCAGAGTGCACACATAGATACCAAAAGACTCATACTGAGGTTGCACTTTTTTCACTGCACCGCAGAGGCTTCTGCCACCACAGAGAACTATTTCTAGTTTAGTACAGAAGACAGGCACTCGATAAATAGGAATACATAACAAGGCTCTGTACAAATAACCGATGGGTTCTTGGCTGACTGCGAGGCTTATGCACACAGAAAGAACTATATCCGTGTGTACTCAATATGTCGTCATGATTTTACGACGAAAGAGTTTTAGGCCATGGTTCTCCAAGATTTTTGTGACGTATTCTCATCACGAAAATGACGTAAAAAATTCGCATAATCGAATGACAAAGAAAAAGTTCCTGTCAATGGGAGTCGAACCCATGACTTCTGAGTCTGCGTCAACAGATGGCGGCACGCTTTTTCTATAATGAGTGAAAACAAAATGCAATAAAATGCTGTCGCCTGTATCTTAAAAATTTGTTGTTTCAAAATTATGCTCACATGCACATGTTTACAAGACTCAAATTTACACACAGGCTTTGTGTGCTAAAAATACACCTTTTACATTTACCTTGATAAGACAGATGCTTGGGCTAGTTGCTGATTGGAAATCAATATATTTGCGAAGTGCAAGACTTCGAGTAGTTACGACGTAACTACAAAAGAAACAAAGACAGAAAGAGCGCTGATTTCAAGTGGAATTTCATTAGCGAAAACGCTGGAAATATACACTCGTGACAGAACATCACCGCGCTATCACGCAACCTATTGCATCACAGCAAGGTAATCATCATCTCATTATAAGGTTACAACGCCACAGCTCAGCACAAGTTCACAATCTATTTGTCATAGCCAGAAATTTGATTTCTTTTTTTAGTCAGAGCAAGCGAAGGCATGCTGATACATCGATCACCCAGCATTTTCATTTCACTGGTCTTCATAATCTCTCGTGTTAGCTGGTGATTGGGTTTGGCTACAACAGTGCAATTTTCGAATTCCGGCCTACAACCACAATCCCTACAATGGATGCCCAAATGACCTTGCACAGCTGAGTATACATTGTAATGATGCTCCTTTAACCGCTCATTCAGGCACCGGCCCGTTTGCCCAACATATATCTTGCCGCATTACAACGGGAGTAAATAAACTACGGCTATCACACATTCCACGAATAGCCTTCTATGTTTGTGCAACAGCTCCTTCGTGCGGAGTGTGCATTCACCCGTTTGCAGAGCGCTGAAAGCTTTTCTGGGCCAGAGAAAACCACTTTCACATCAACCTTATCACCTATTTTTTTAAAATTGTGAGAAATCCTTTGTAGATAGGGAATCACAGCCACGCGTTTTGGGCTACTATCCACGCAGTTCACTTTCTTTCTGTCCTTGTTTCTTTTGTAGTTACGCCGTACATACTCGTAGTCTGGCGCTGTGCAAATATGCTGATTACATCTACCACTCTTTTGTCACATTGTTCTTGGTAAAGATCGTTGAGTTGTCAGTTTTCTTGGCTGGTGACATTTTTTCTATTTTTTTGTGTTGTCATGCGTCTTTCGCAAACAGCACGCCCTGTACTGGTCCTCAAGACCTCTGCTCTGCTGGGGAGACCCTTCCTGGAAGCTTCGCTATCAAGGAGGTGGTGGTGGACTTGCCCAGTGGCAAGAGTAGACCTGCCACTACAAGTAAGCGGCTCAGCTCTTCAATGACATCCTAAGCTGCCGATTCCGAGTCTGATGCACGTTGGATATCTCGGATGCATTTCTACCTGCTAAGCATTGACGGCGAAGACGAAAGTCCGTGGCATCGTCCTCAAGTGAAGAGACCATTATATACAACAGCATCGCGACTACGACAGTTGCTTATGTGCCCGTCGAGGTCACGGTAAGCCTGAACGCTATCTCCAAACAGAAGCTTCATGACTTTTTCTTCAAACTTGCCCCTGCTCTGATTCAAGAAGTTCTAGTGAATCCTAGGAAAAATATCATTGCCGTAGACACAACAGATGAGAAGATGGTGCAAACTCTGCTAGGTCTATCTCAGCTATGCAACGTCTACGTGCGGGCTTTTGTTCCACAGGGCGCTAATGTAACAGCTGTGGTTCTATCAGATCTAGACCTAGAGCTTTCAGACGACGTTTTGAAAAGTTTGATAGTTTGCACGCCACCATGCAGAGTCATCAGAGCTCGAAGGCCTGGCTCTTCGAAGTGTGTGATGATTCTTTTCGGGTGCGAAAAGCTACCTAGTCACATAAAGGCCGGACTAGTGCAGTACCCGGTCCGACCTTTTATTTCAAAACTTTTACAATGCCGCAAATGTCTCAAGCTTGGACATGTACAGGGTTTCTGCATAAGTGTTGTGGTCAGTGCTAATAGTGGTGCAAATCACAACGTGAAACTTTGCAATAGTGCGACATCTCGCTGCCCTAACTATAATGGCGAACACTTGGCAACGGACAAAGAATGTCCCAAGCTAAAGAAAAAATGGGTGGTCCTGAAAGCCGAAAAGAAAGCCAAAAAGACAGCATCATGAAAAAAGAAGCTTAGCCATAGCACCCATCAAGTAGCTGGCAACGGCACAACTGAAGATGCACCTGTACGTCCGAAAAATAGTACAGTCACAAAGAATAGAAGCGACGAAGGGAGGCGCAATTTCAGCATTTCGGCAACATCGTGGCCGGCGCTACCACCAAAGCCGTCGGACTCATTCTCCTCAAAGATCACGCCTCATAAAGCTTTCGAACCAGCTTCCGCCAAGGCCATGTCTGCAGTAGAAAATGCTGTAAACAGGGACCAGAAACGGCTCCTGCCCACGAAGATGCCCAACTTGTAACCATGCTTAAGATGCTTGTTAACGTTGTCAGATCTCTCAAAGGGGGTCGTCAAACGCCAGCAGCATTAGCCGCACAACAGCTCTTGGAGGCTCTCCTCCAAGTTCTCGACAGTCTTCACTAAAAACAACATGAAAACTTGTCGCAAGCCCCGTATCTATGTGCTGCAAGGGAACGTCAGGTCTCTGCGACCACGCCATTCAGATTTCGTTTTTAGGCTCCTTGTAATGAAGAATCCGCCGGATGTTCTGGCTCTCCAAGAAACCATTGTGAGAAATGACGTTCTCAGACTTCCAGGTTACGTAGGCATTCACAGCAATACCCGATGCACGGTATTGGCGTGTGCATCTTTCCAGTGTACAGACACCACGCATCCACGAAATGCTTCGAAAGCGTCATTCTACATACGATCTGATGTTCCTTTCGCAGTGATCGACGCAAGTGACCTCTGCGACGCTGACTTTGAATATGTAGCAGTTGCTAATATTCTAAGGAATACAACTGCGACTGTTGCAAGCATATATTTTCGGCCAACGCGAATTCCGGATATCACATCGCTGGAGTGCATGCTATCTCGGTGTGGCTCGTCATTTCTGCTGTGTGGAGATTTGAATGCACATCATCCTCGTTGGTGTTGTCGCCCACAAGACAATCGTGGAGTGTAAATCGATGAGCTTATTGTTAAACATGATCTGCAGACCCTTAATGATGGCTCATCCACATTTGTCGGCAGAGGAAAGGAACAATCCACCATTGATCTTGTCATATCAACGAGAGATGTGCGTCTTGCTTGGTCAAGCGAGGCTGACCCTTATGGATCAGATTCTCTGCCCATTTGGCTGGTTCCAGAGAATTCTCGTAGCAGCAACAGTGCTGCCTACACAGTGACAAATTGGACAAGTTCCCTCAGCTGATTGCGGGGGCGCCATCAAGCGATAACCTGTTCAAACTAGTGGGTGAATGTCTGAAGCAAGCTACAGTACGACGGCTGCGAAGCATAGCCAAGCCAAACCCTGACCTAAAGCTCTTGAGACCACGTGCTTGTCGACGACGTACTTACGGGAGGGCACAGCGTTCCAAAACAAGCTCTCATTGGATACTTTATAACCACTTCGATGCAGCCATTAGGCGGCACACAAAACAACTTCGTCGAAGAAGTTGGGCCACATTGTGTAGCTTGTTGCATATGGCGAGTGGTTTTGGGAGTGTACGGCGCATATTGTAGGCTCTCCGAACACCTGTGGCTGCAAGAATCTCCCTACAGCATTGTGCATTATGACTAGATGGTCTCCGAAAATTCTTGCGGAAGAGTTTGCCAATATTTTCAGTGGTCCTATGTCAAAAAACAACGCCAGTCATCGTTCCGTACCAATTTTATATGGACCTCCATGTGAGATGGATGAGGCAGAATTTTACCTGGCAGAGCTACGTCACGCACTTAGCCTCTGTTACCGTCGCACCACCCCAGGCGAAGATGGTGTTCCATGCCGAGCCTTGCGAAACATAGATGAGGTCTTTCATCAAAGTATCCTGGACGAATACAACAAAGTGTCGCAAACGAGTCTGATTCCTGCTGAATGGAAATCATCTGTGGTGAAGCCAGTTTTGAAGCCTGGTCACCCTGCACAACTCCTGATGTCATACCAGCCAATATTACTAACTTCTAATGTTATGAAGCTGATGAAACGTATGATGCTGTTTCGTCTGGACGCCAGATTACAGAAGCTCACTTTCTTTCCCGTTGTCAGGAGCGGATTTTGTCACCACTGTTTAGCCCTCGACAGTATAGTAGATCTGGTATCATCGCTTCAATCTGCTCGAGCAAACAGACATTCAGCGTATGT